ACAACAAAAAAGATGGCCGCTCGCTTTTCTTTTGTCCTCCAGTGCCGGCCTCCAGTACCTGCTCACGGTTCTTGCTGCCCTGTTTCCCTAGTATGCAGTGCCCCGCTCATGCACTATGTCTGCGCTCTGGTCCGGATTGCTGGGGCTGGGTGTTCAGCAGTCCTGGGCTCTTTCTCCCTCCCACTCAGACCTCTCTCCTGCTGGGAGCTGGGGGAGGGGCGCTCGGACCGCCTGGCTGGTGCTTGTATCTTACCCCCTTTGAGAGGTGCTGAGTTCTCGCAGGTGTGGATGTAGTCTGGATGTTGTCCTGTGTCCTCTGGTCTTTATTCTAGGAAGAGTTGTCTTTGTTATATTTTCATAGATATATGTGGTTTTGGGAGGAGATTTCTGCTGCTGTACTCACGCCACCATCCTGGCTCCGCCTCCTAAGTGGAATTTTAACAATAACTTTTTTCTATATAAAAGTACTGTCTGCTCATTTTAGAAATTTAAAAAACTCAGAGCAATACAAAGAAGAAAATAAAAATCACTTGTAATCTTAACACTTAATTTTTGGTGCATTTCCTTCCAGAATTATTTTATGAACATTCATTCATTTTTAGTGGCTTCAACATTACAGTACATGATGCACTTGGAGTTAATTCTCTAAACTCCTCATCTTTCATTATTACGTCCACCACTTCACTTCTGCCTTGTACCATAATGATTGTACCTTAGGCTTCTCCAAGTTGCTGGAAGTCTTCTCGAGCAATTGCATTCCTTCCATCCTTCCAAGTTGGCTCACTCTTCCTCTAGTTCAGTGAACCCATCACTTTTCACTGCCCACCCTTTTCCTCATTATCCAGGTTAGATTATATGGGGCAAGATTATAGTCACTCCCTTGCAACAACTGCAACTCTCCTTCCCCCATTCCTTCCATTGTACTAGCAAAACCCTAGCCATAGATGAGCCAGACTGTGACCTTCTCTATATCTGTACCTAATTACCTAACTTCCCTGATTTTGTTTTAATATAACTACAGACTCAAGTGGACACTAAATACACTGTTTTTCTTTATAATACATTATTCTAATATGCCTCTCTGTCTCAATCAGATGAAGTAGCCAAATAATATGTCAGGTAATATGTCACTTTAATGATATAATCAGCGAGTTCAAATGTATAGATAGATTGATAGAATGTTGTACTCTCTAGAGATTATTTAATCAGCTATTTCACCTGTGAAACATTTATAACTATTAATCCTTACCTGGCTACAATAAAAAAAAACCCTAAACAAATTCTTCAAAAAGATTTTACAGGCACTTCTCTAACCAGAGAAAGAGTTGAATGACAAACCAAATGCAAAAAAGTGAGCAATCCTTCCTAAGTTAAAAAAAAAAGAGCCATAATTACTTGGGAATTAATGAACAGTGGTCTAAGTCTCTGAATCTAAATCATCTAAATCTCTGAGGAAATAAAATGTGTTATAAATTTTATAAAAACCCTAGAAATTAATAAAAATGTTGATATGTCCATATAAAAATATGTGGACATAGCTAAAGGGGTACTTAGAGAATAATGCATAACTTTAAGTTTTTGATTACAAAAGTAACAGAAATAAAGTATTCAATCTCAGAACTGACAAAAGAAGTAATCCAGCAAAACAATTCAAAGAATGTGGGGAGCAGGAATATTCAAAGATAAACTAAAAATTAGCAAAATCAAAATCAAAACATAGGAATTTCAAGGAAAGATGCAAGCCTAATAAAGAAATACCACCACACACACACACACACACACACACACACACACAACAACAACAACTTTAGATATAACCAGGGATAAGAGCCAAATTAATTATGAGAAACTGTTATGTGGAACCCAGTGACAGTACATTTGAAATTCTACAGAAAATGTATTTCCTAGTAAAACACAAATTTCACAGAACTGACTTAAGAGCCTAATAGCTCTTAACAAACTAATAAGCAAAGAAGCCAGAAAGTAAGAGGTAAATAGATTTTAAGTTAAAGATCTTAGAAATGACCACATATATTTATCAGTTCCTTCTCCCATCACCTCAGTGAAACAATAGCAAAGGCCTTAAAATGTATAAATATATGACACTGAAGAGATCATGAGAGAGCCTGCACATGAGAATTTCAATAAATTTAGTCAGTATTTTCAATGTTTCCTTGTTAAGTTTACTTTCCTATACCAAGAAATTGTTAAACCAGCTCATCTCAAAACCCTACATACAAGATGTGATACATATACACAGTGGAATATTCAGCCATAAAAAGAAAACAAATCCTACCATTTGCAGCAACTTGGATGGAGCTAGAGGGTATTATGCTCAGTGAAATAAGCCAGGCAGAGAAAGGCAAGTACCAAATGATTTCACTCATTTGTGGGGTATAACAACAAAGCAAAGCTGAAGGAACAAAACAGCAGCAGACTGGCAGATGCCAAGAAGGGGCTAGCCGTTACCAAAGGGAAGGGACTGGGGAGGGTGGGATGGGGAGGTAGGGAGAAAGGGATTAAGGGGCACTATAATTAACACACAGTATAGGTAGGTCACAGGGAAGGCAGTACAGCACAGAGAAGACAAGTAGTGACTCTATAGCATCTTACTTTGCTGATAGTGACTGCAATGGAGTGGTGGGGGAGACTTGATAATATGGGTGAAAGTTGGAACCACAATGTTGTTCATGTGAAACCTTCATAAGATTGTATATCAACGATACCTTAATTAAAAAACAAAACAAAACAAAAAGCCCTTCATGCTGTCCCCAACTAATACCTACACAATTCTTTACTGAGAAGATCAATCTATCTGAGGCAACCACATCTGCAAGCCTCCATGCATCTGTATACTTCTTCCCTCCCTCCACTCATGTCAATGAGAAGTGTCCTTCCTCCCATTAAAGATCAGCTTGTCAACCTGTGCACTGCATTCTGCTCTCTTATGGACTTCACTCTTGGGGCTCTCCACCCTGTCTTCTGCCTCCTCAGCTTTTCCTGATGTGCCATTCCTGTCAGTATGCACACCTACTTTAGTTTGTTCCATCTTGAAACTTCCTTGGACATGTGTCCAGCTCCATTCCTCTGGTCTCCTTCACAGCCAAAGTTCTCCACACAGGTGTCTCTATTCACAGCTGCCACTTCCACATCTTTCATTCATTCCTGAAACCTCTCCAATTTGAGTTCTGTCCCCACAATTTTACTCACTCTCCTCTTTTCAAGGTCCCCAGTGATTTTCTTTTTCCAAGTTCAGAGGATACTTCTCTGATCATCTTATTTGACCCATCAACCCCATTGACCCCACTCTCCTACTTGACAATGTCCTCTCAGTGGACTGCTGGCACTGGCTCCTTTGGGCTTACCAGAGCTGACTGTGCACATGTCTTCTGAACTTCAGGTTTAGTGATATCACACTGTAGCTTGAGATGGCCGTGATAAGAGTATTAATTAACACCATGGGAAAATCAGAAAATGCCTCATATCAGATCTCTTCTCTCTGGAGAGCTGGTTATTAAACATTTACCAGAGCACTCCTGCTTCAAAACCACCCCGGGCTCATGTTACTGATTTCTTCGCTAACTTTGTCAGCCTTTTAATGGACCTCCTTTAAATGATGCCTAAGCATTCAAGTGCTTTATTGTTTGATTCTGGGCCCCTTTTTTCACTCTCTCATTAGATAATTGAATTAAGTTTTGCAGCTTTAAGAACTCTCACAATAAGGATGATCTTGGGCCTGTGACCAATATGGATCAGCTCATAAGCTGAAATTGAATTCAACTAAGTGACAAGTAGACTTTTTGAGAAATTGCTCCTGGCTTGCCCTAAGTCCTAATAGGATTGACTGCTTAACCATGGACACCCAGTGAACATGCCTAAAAGTATGATAAAACTTGATATTAAATAGCTTCTTGTGTGTGTGTGCCCATCTGTTGGTATCCCGTTGTATCTCTCTTAGTAGAGGTAATTTTTTAAATTCAGCAATTGGCTATATGGATTTCATCTCATGTGAGTCATTGTGCTCATTTAGTTCCTTCAGCAATACTTTCTACCAAAGTCAGTGGGATGCCAGGCAGACATGCACTGGCTCATGAGAGCTAATTGTTTTCAGGAATTTTGCAAGCTGGTTGTTAAATACAGTCATTATTAACAATCAAATTATATAAACTTACAATGAAATAATAAATTAAATAAAAAACAAAGATAACAAATCTCCCAAACTCATCATTTCTTAATTATTCTACTATGTTTTACTATTATTTGTGCTCTTGAAATTATTTGCACCCATTGTATCTGTAGGGTAGAAATGCTATTTAATGATATCCTACTGTGCATCTTTTCTCAACTCTGTGTTCAGTGACTTCTCTGGGTAGCTTGAAATTGGTTATGGTGGCAGTATTTACATGACTGAAATTAGTAAACAATACATATCAAGCTTTGGTTTATTGTTTTGTTGAGTGTGATGGAAAAAATCTTAACAATGCAGAATGAACTTAAAATGTATCATGTCTATAGCCCTTACATTGTGAATAGTTCCCCAAATTGAAATATCTCTCCAGGATTTTAAAACTATTATTTGCTTCAGCAAAGGAGTTGCTTATACCATTAACTAACAAATGATGTTCCCACTACATCTTTGTTGTTTCATTTTCCTCTTACCACTAATGTAAATGAAATAATCAACCGACATTCCTGCTAGAAGCAAACTCACTCATCAAGCACAAACTTGGGTTGGCTTTGGATACAAGAGTTAGGCAAAAATCAACTAATGCACACAGTCTTTGAGAATTAATTGTGTACATAGAGGTTATAATACATAGTATTATATAGTTTACTATCATTTGTAAATTGTGTGCTACACATCTTTTATATCAGTAGAATTTATAATAAACCTATGTACATGTTCATCTATGCACTTTTTTTTTTTTGGAGAGCTGATGGTTAAATTCTTACCAGCACGTCACTAGTCAGGGGGAATGAATGGCTAGCTGCAGGCTTAATGGGAATCACTGACATGGTTTGTTTGACACACAGGGTTTTTGAAAGCAACAAACAGAAAAACGTGGAGTGGTGTGCAATGTTTACCAGGTGTGAATTTCACCTGAACTTGGGCAATTCCTAATTCTTTTGAAGGGTGGGATCTGGCCCCTTCATATTCTCTCATGGCAGCACTCAATGGGAGCTCAACTACTGGGACCCTTCAGGTGAGAGGTACACTCTGTTTGCCAACATCCCCCAGCCTTGTGTCTGAGCCCCAAATTCAGTTTCCTCATGTATGTGCTGTGGATTTTCTCTGCTTCTTATTTATCCTGTTAATGCAAACTGAACTACATTTTCAGTCCAGAAATATGGCAAAATTAAGGCTTGATTTGTAACTAAACTAACTTTCCTAGTCTATTGATTTAAGTCCCATTTATCTACAATTATTTCTTATAAAGACCACTTAAAACATAAAACATTTGAGAAAGAGCATTGAAACTATTCAAAGCCACCAAATAGAAAATATACATATTAAGATGCTCATAATTCCTAATATCATTTAATCTTATACTTTCTTCATAGAAGTCCATTGAAATTCAATTTTTGCATTTTCATTAATGACAGTGAATTCATTATTAATCTTTTCACTTATATCCTTCTTGCTGTCTTTCCTCCTTTTTTCCCTTGTCTTTTTCTATCACTTTAATCTTACCTCTCAAGTACAATGTCAGTAATGAGGTCACTGCATTTTTCTATTAAAATTCATACTTCTGTCTTAGTGTTGGCCTAATTTCAACACTGACATTATGAACTCATGCTAATTAATGCACCTGAGTGTCCAAGCCCCCCACCAATTAGGCAAATGTAAACATTTCAGATTATATCAGTTATCCTATGTTAATGTTAAGAGAAAAATGGGGTGAATGTGATCTGAAGTCATCAACTCCAAGACACCTGTTATTTCATAGTAAAGTTATTTCTTTTCCTCATGTTACTGTGAATGCAATAATGTTTCTACTTCTTTGCACTCTGGGTTTAGACATGTGTACCATAATTGCCATGGATTCTTTATAGTCCACTTCAATGGTGAGTTGAATCTCTGTGAGGAAAAGTTTTCTTTGGACACTCATGTCAGTTTAATTTTTAAAAAAAATATGTTGCCTTGGTTCCTTTTATTAACACACATAAAACCATTTTGTGTTAGCCATGTCACACAAAGTATTTTCACTTTCCAGAATTAAACTTCCAAATGGACTGGGCCCTAAAAGTTCTTTTGTGAATTGTCTTTTAGTAATATGAGCATTTTTACTCCTAGGAATAACATTGCAAGTGATTGTTAGATTCCCGGACTAGCCCCTAATGTAGTCAAACATAGTTGTCATGGTATTAATCTAAGTTCTGATCTCTGGAGCAGGAGGAGAAAGAGGAAGAGAGGGATGAAAACAATGAAAGGAGAAACGGGGTTCAGCGGGGACAAAGGTGGAAGAAGGAAGGGGAAGAAAGAAGGCATGATGGAGAAAGGCCGGAAAAGACATATTTTCCCTAGGTTTAGGCCTTGCTCTTAGCAAAAAGTTGAGCTTATGCAGTTGGTTTTTGTCTCCCCCAATTTTCATTTCTGTATCCCCATCCTAGTGACCTATTTAGCCTGAGGTCCCATCCTATCCAGGCCTGGTCTGCCTCCAAGCTTCAACCCTGTCCCGCACAAACACACTCTCAAAACTCCCCTTTCTCAGTGCATCTGTTCTTAGCAAAATACCTGGAAAATATCAGTCTAGGAGAACCTCATCATTTTGTGGAACTCACAGACCAGGAACCTCTGAAATTTATTGTTCTCTACCTAAGGGAATTCCAGTCAATATAATAAAATGATACAGAAACAAGTTTAGGCCCTGTTTTGAAGGATGATATTTTCTTGGGGTCATTCTCTATGCCGAATTCCACTAAGCCATCCCTGGAGTGCTCTGCTTTCTCCATCATCTCTGACCTGGCATTTCTCCACAGACCTCAGGTCAAGGACCTTAAGACATATTTCTGTACTCAAGTTGGTTTTTGGTTTCTTTTTATTTTGTGTTCAAAACAGCTCCCAGGGTTGGGCAGAGAGTGAAGCAGAGGGCTGGTTATTTGTTTGTGAATGGGGCTGGGGGAACAAGCGAAGCTGTGGGTAGGGAGATACCATTGGCCTCATTCCCAGATTCCTGTTCAAGTTATCCATAGTGTGTCAAAGTTTGTGGTGGCTGGATGCAGTTATAATGTCAGTAAATGAATGTGACAACATAGCCTTTGTTTCTTAGAACTGGGAAGGTGTTAAAGTAAGAAAAGGAGGGAAATTTGTTGGCAATGCTGGCCACATTTTCAATACTATATGATTTTAAGGACGATTCCCTGTTGAAAAGCGCCATATCTAAAAAAGAGATATACATACATGTTTGCCAGTCTTTGTGTAACAACATGGGTTTTTCTCTGGTTTCATTCTCCCCACTGCTATAGAGGAGCAAGCTCTGCTCCAGCGAGGACTGCTTGGCCTCAGTGTTGATGCGAAGCCTCCTCAACCCGCAGATAGCCAGGTACTCAGTGGGCAGAGTATTGGTGCTGCACAGAGACAGCTTCAGGTCCCGGACCAGCGTGAAGTTCAGCAGGAGGCCCAGTGCAGAGGTGTCTGTGAACCAGATGGTCAAGTGGCCACTGTAGCTGGCTCGCTCTCCTGCAAAAGGCAGTACAGTTTTGCAGCTGCACATCAGGTTGGCCAAACTGTAGTCACAGTCCCGGATGTCTGCAGAGCAGCTGCAGTTCCGAATGGTGTTTTCCTTGGTGAAAATCAACGTGCTGTTCTTCTGACCTCTCGTGAAGCTGTTGAGTGTAAAGATGCTCAGTGTGCTGATCAGAAGGAGGCTGGGCCCAGAAGGTGGTGCCATTCTTGTTTCAGTGTGTGCCAGCGTGTCTTTGTGTTCCCTCCACATGAGCCAGTTCACTGGGACTCACCTGAAAGAAAAAATGCAGCTTCGCCATCATGGATCTCATTATGAATGTGCAGCTTATGGAAGAGGGGCCCCTGAAATAACTCACTATAAATGCTTCTCCCTTGCATTTCTAACAAAGGCAAGTGATGCATGGAGCCCAGGAACAGGGAGGTTCCCTTTTCAGAGTCTCTTGGAAGGCAGCAGCCAGCCCCCTGAACTCTGCTCATCTGAGGCATAAAACTGCCTGTGATGTCTGCCGATGGGACTGTCTCGCGCCACAAGTGAGCAAGAGTAGATGCCAGACAGGAGTCGTAGCACAGCCTGTCCAAGCACAAGGATTTGAACTGCGTTGAGTGGGCACATCCTACTACTTGTACTGAGTACCTGTCAACCCCCTAAGCAAGCACATTCCCTCCTCCTCTCGATATCTGACTTCCTGGAACCCAGGAGACAAACAGTTCCTTGTTGGATTCAGCTATTCAAGCGCTACCTTTTAAAGAACATAGCACGAATACCAGATGAACAGTAGTTAATGGTAAACTTTAATTTCTAACTGGGCAAACATGCCCCTCCATCATATTACTCTGTTCGTAGGTCCATTCATACTTTTTCTGGCCTAGAAGTGTAAGTATTAGAGTTGATTTTAACTGTGTTAATAGACAAAACATCACAAGCCATTTAATCACATTGATCTTGATTTATCTACTCCTTTCCCAGAACAAACTTTATGCATTGATTTTTATCAAAGAACTTACTGTAGGGCTCGAAAACTAAGCAATTATAGAAACACTGTTAAGTGATCTAAGTAAATAGGAATGCAGGCATAGTTCAAAGTGCAGCCCTGTCATCTGGTTTGGGGGAAAATGCCCTACGGTGCCTGGTATCTAATAGATGTGAGGTCTTCTTTTCGGGTGTAATTGGAATAAGACACACATTATGACATAGGATACCAGATTTCAGTTTTAAAAAAATAATTAAATTTTCCCTGATTAGCTGATGGCTGAAGAGGGAGACCAAATGATATAATTCAGTTCATCTGTGTATTTGGAGCACTGTAAATTTGAGAAGATACTTTTAATGATACCTCAGACCAGGAGAGTCCAGAGCTAGTGCCAGGGCCCCCACAGGAAGAGCCAGGAAGGAACAGATGGAAAAGTCAGGCTGGGGAGTTAAACGTGTCCAAAGGCAATGGTGACAGTAGGAAGGAAGCTAGGCAGTCATGTAACACTTAGGGTGCAAGATGAGGCCACAAAGTGGCAAAGCAAGGTAATAAGAAGTCCAAGGGAGGCAAAACTAAAAATGCCATGGTCAGATAAACAGTCAGGTAGCAAAGGTGCACAAGCATGTGGCTGGAGTGCCGGGAGATTAAAAATAAACTCAGCCAAAAAAACATACCAGAAGCTGAGACATTGGTTCACAGCAATTTAACTTCATTCATTCAACAAATGCTTATTGGGAGGTTCCTAGGTGGCAGGCAGTTTGTTAGCCCTGGGGTACAGCCCAGAATAAGACAATGAGCTTATGGGGCTTATGTTCTAATGGACTTGATTCAGCTTTGGAGCCCAAGGTGGGCCAGGCCTGTATGTGACAACCAGGGACTGCAGTGGGGAGGGGAGGGAGGCAACGGCAGGAGTCAGGTGGGGCTCAGCACAGACTAAGTGCGAAGGCCAAACAGAAGGAACATAGATGAACAAGATGTAGACTCTCCCCTCCAAGGGCTTATACACTAGAGAGGAAGACAGACAAGGCTGAACTGAGAAAGGCGTTCCTGAATGTATGTAAGATTATAGGAACATAGCACATGAAGTCCATCTGGGGGATTGAATAAGGCACTGTATAGTGTTTGTATTTGTTTTGAAGTTGGCACAGGGTTTTCTTAAAGGATTTATTCATTAGTCCATTTTTTAGTAAAAGAAAGGGAAATGTGTAGAGCCAGAATTCTCCCTGAATGACAGGCTTAACAGTTCTAAATAGTTCTAGAATGTGTTGGTGGCTACCCCACTTAGGAAGGAATGGTGAATAATTTATTAATTATAAGATAATTTTAGATAATCAGCTGTCCCAGATTCCACTGGAGGTTTTTAGGACTTCATAACCCAGTAACCCTGTCATCCCAGAAACTAGAAATGCTGTCATCAATACCATTGGCCTGCTCTGATCCCAGTCTTCAAGGGAAAGGGAGTGAAGGGAATCTGTACATCAACCCAGAACCTGGTGATGAAAGTGTCCACTTCATTCTTTCAGGTACTGATAACCACTCAGAGGCATGCATGGAAGAAGAAAAGGGGTAAGAAGGGAAAAGGACATTGATATCCTGCATATTTAGCTGGAGATCCCTAAAAGAATTTGTGAGCAACTTCTGAGCAGTCAGGGCCTGAGCTGGACCTCAGGATGGCCCCTGCCTTCTGGACATTGGGGAGCCCAAAGGCCAGACAAGGAGGCCAGATGCATGAAGCCTCATGAAGAGGTACAGATGGGGCAGATATCCCTGGTAAACAGTTTATGGGGTTTCCACAAAGATGTTAGTTGGATATTTTTCTCCACTTCAGTTTTATCATGGACTTCTTTCTTTAGGTTTGTTTGAACATGGATTGGGAACACCTAGTTTCACTATGTAGTTATTTGTGGGCAGATTCTAGCATGATATAGACTGAATAGGCACAAATACATCACATTGCCCCTGCCCCTTGCTATCCCCTTCCCATAGTGGAAATGGTACTATTGGGAAAGAAACTTGTCTCTGGGGGTTGCTCAGCTTGTAGAAGAGAAATATGAATCTGCTGATGGTCACCTTATCTCCAGAAGTGGTGAACGTGTCTGACAATGGAGCCAACAAGAGGAAAACAGAGACAAGAAACATAGAGACATTCCCAACAACGTTTTCTGACCACCTAGATCAAGTCATACCTGACATCCTTCCTTGATTTTTAAAATATGTAAACCAAGTATTTTTCCTTCTACTCAAGACAATCTGAGTTGGATTTATATAACAAGCAGTTAAAAGAGTCTTAGCTTTTTTTTTTCATTTGGTAAACTATGTTTTTTTCATTTGTTCAGTAAACATTTGTTGAACCCTTGCTATGTGCTAGGCACTATGCTAGAAAGTGAGAATGTAAAGCAGTAAGAGCTCCCTCAAGGGTTTATACCTAGTGGAAGAGACACTTGAACAAATAATCACAGTACAAAGTGATAACGACTGTAACAACAAGTTGTATTGGGATATTAAGTCTATACCTAACTTTACCTGGCAGTGAAAGATGTCATGATAAGCTTCATGGAAGATGTAATACCTGAATAGGGGAGTATTTCCTGAGTTGGAAAAAGAGCAAGAAAATTACCTATGTAATTAGTGTAGTATGACCAGAATTGGAAAAATACAAAAGTAGGACAGTGAGAATGACAGGTTATGGGGAAGGCAGGGGTGGCAGTGGGAGAGGAGAGCCCAAGGATTCTTCTGACCTGGAACCTTCTGACTTGCCCTGATAGATCATTTTCTCTCAGCTTTTTGTGTGCTCCACCATTGACACTTGCCTCGTGTGTCCTAATGTTAGCATCCTCTCCACCCCCACTACAGGGGAGGAAGGACATAGCAAGAGGCAGGGGCAATGTGAAATGCTTATGCCATACTGAAGTCTGCCCACAAGTGAATAAATACATAGTGAAACAAAGATAAGGTCAATTCCCCTTTTACATTACAGTCTATTGCTTTTGGGGGTGGGGGAGCGTGTGCTGTGCTCCACAGAGTCATTCAGGGACTCCCACTTTTGTCTGTAGTTCTGCCATCATCTACGGCTCTCAGGTTCTCCAAAGGATTTTCTTGCCACATTTCATTGGCCAAAACTCAGTCACATGGCACCACCTCACCACTTGGAAATGAAACCTAGTGCTCTAGCAAGGGAGAAAGGCAGACACGGGTATTGGTGGGCACTAGAAGTTTCTGACATACTGAGGTTGTAAGACATAATAAACGGCTTTATAAGACCCTGACAAAAGCTCAGATCCTGATAATCCACCTACATTTTTCACTCAGGAGTCTGAAAACTGTGTATGAACCTTTAAATCACTTAAAAACCAGAGCTACTATTTAGATTCAATAATTTAAACATTATTATTATTTGTATTGTAGCTGAAGAACTCTCAAAAGTAATTAACACTAGCAACTAGCTGCATGAAAGCAAAGACTTGTGAATCGGGCAGACACAGACATTAGTTACTTCAAAACAAATTCCACAGGGATTCCTTTTCAACCTAGGACTACACCCAACATTTATATAATGTTTATATTTGATTCCAAAAGAAATGTTTCAAACTGGACTAGTTCTGTTTGTAAGAAGATACTACTAGTAGGGAGATACTGTGTCAGTGGGAGGATAGCATTTGGACCATTTGCCCAAAACAGATAAAAATTGCCATGAATAATGGTGTTTTGAGCTCTGCTGCCTTAACACAAAAGACAAAAAATGTGATTGTGGAAAAATAAAGTGGTATTCTCCCAATCCTTACACCAACTAAAAATCAAGACCAATTTAAAATTTTAACTCAGAAGGGAGTTTAATTTGAAATTAGAAGTGATTTTTATTTTAAAAGTAGAAAATCACTTGGAGAAAGATTCAGTTGAAGAAACTGGGGAAATAAGAGGAACAGACATTAGTGAGATGCTGCAGCAAGTAGATGGTCTAAAACATAATCTGAGCTGCAGCACTGAGAAGAAGGGCAGAAGAAAGACAATGTCTGGGTACCCCAAGAAACCCAGTTTGAAACCAGGACTTGGGGAGCTGGACAAGAATGTCTCTCACAAATAGCATTTCCAAGTGTGTTCCTGCAAACCTCTTGAAGATTCTGAGGTGGCGAAAATGAGTGGCATTCCAGAAAAGGAGACAGTTTGGAATCTGGGATGTGTTCTACAAAGATGAGACGTATACCTGCACTCTTGGGATGTATTTTATCAGAAGGCTGCCCACCCAGGGTTTGCTAACATTGAAAGCAGAAAGCTGGCCTTGCTCATCGCAGGGGTCTAACGGG